TTTGTGAAACCAGGGATTGAACTCAGAACCTTGCACTTGCCAGGCAAGCACTTATTCTACTGAGCTATCTCCCTAGCCTTGCCATTTGTACTTATGTAAAATGTCTATTCATTTTACTTTCCCTTTTTTGATTGGGTCTTTTATTTTGGGGGGGTGTCTAATTTTTTGGAATTCTTTATATAGTGTAGATATTCGTTCTTTGCAACACTCTGAAAAGAACATTGACTAGGACATCAGAAAATAGAAAGATATTCCCTGATCCTGGATAAGCAGAACCAATATAAAATTTTCTTTAAATCATTTTCTGTTTGTACCATATCAAGTCATTATAATGACCAGTAGTAATTTGTCCTATTCCACATTTACATACAACTCAAAAATGACAGGCTAGGGACAAAACACTGTGAACTCTGTACTGTTAGAATACCCATTAAGTGATCATTCCTAATGGTCATTACATTGACATATTAAGGAAATTATATATAGAATCCTGCAAAAACACAGTAAAAAGACTGAGCAGACTCATAGCGATTCTATTTTCAGCCTCCCAAGTGTTGAGATTAAAGGTGTGCGCCACCATGCCCAGTCTCAATCACCATCTCAGTGTGCCCTGGGGGTGGGGCCAGCACGGCAACCCGGCAGTCGAACACCAGCTGCTGTGCTCTGCCTAAGCAGGCGCTTTAGTTTGCTGAGCTATCTGGCTGGCCCTGGAGAAGCTAACCCTAGATGACTCTCAGAGCCACTAACAGTTTCACCCCGGATGGCTATGTACTGAAAGTAATAAAATCCTCTACCACATCATCTCTTTCTTATGACACTATTCAGTACAATGTGTAAGCTATTTGTTTCTCTTTCTTTTTTTTTCTTTTCTTTTTTTTTTTTTTTTTTTTTGGCAGAACCAGGGATTGAACTCAGGCCCTTGCACTTGCCAGGCAAGCGCTTATTCTACTGAGCCATCTCCCCGATCCCATCATCATCTCTTTCTTTAAAGCCGGTTGTGTTTTCTGTCATTTGCAATGACAAAGCTCTAATTAATCTATACAACTTTCTCAAAGGGAAACTTTCACAGTAATATCTTGGTAATTTTTTGAGACAAAGTCTTGCCATGTAGTTCAGGCTGGTCTTGAACTCACTAAAGAGCTCAGGTTGACCTGGAACTCAAGGTGATCCTCCTGCCTTAGCCTCTCAAGTGCTTGGATTACAGCCGTGTGCCACCATGCCCAGCATGGTAAAAATATTAACAGCACTATCATCCTTATAGAGTTTTTATTTTTGTTTTTTTTCTTAGGTTTTTGTATGAACATAAATTTTTATTTTTCTGGGAGAAATCATCAGGAGTACAACTGCCATCTCTTATGGCATCTGCATATTTAGGTTTTCTTCCCCCCTCCCTCCTTATGTATGTCTTTCAAAGGGTCATGATGAACCTGTTTGCTAAAGCTGATGTGGTGGTGTACACGCATAATCCTATTATAGGAAAGAAGGCTGAGGCAGGAAGATTGTGAGTTCAAGGTAAGCCTCATCTATGTAGCAAGACAAAAACAGAGTAGCAAAAAATAGAAAGAAAAGAAAGAAAATAAGGAATCAATTTGTTTGCCATGTCTTTTTAGTATTTTTTTTCTTTTCTTTTTTGGGGAATGTAGTTTGATATAATTTTATTATTTTTTAATGTATTTTAGTACAGGGTCTGGAAGGGTCTCACTACACAGATCAGACTTGTAGTGATTCTCCTGTTTTCAGCCTCCCAAGAGTTGGGATTACAGGCGCGTGCCACCACATCCAGTCTCAATCGCTATCTCAGCATGCCCCAGGATGGGGCCGGCACGGCAGGCTCGAATCTCCCCCCTCCCCTGCCCCTGCATTTGGGGAATGCAGTTTGAGACAGGGTCTTACTGTATAGCTCTGGCTGCCTTCAAATTTATGTTTAAAAAAATGCTATGTAGCCCAGGCTACTCTTGAACTCTTATTCATCCTGCCCTTGCCTCCCAAGTGCTGGGGGGCTTATGCTACTACATCACTCTTTTTTTTTTAATTTTTAATTTTAGGGAAGGGTCTACAGGGTGTTCAAATCAGACTTGTCGTAATCCGCCTGTTTACAACCTCCCAAGAGCTGGAACTACAGGCATGTACCACCATGCCCAGTTCATCTCAACGTGCCCCTGGGGCGGGGCCAACACAGCAAGCCCGGGGATCGAACTCCTGGCCCTTGAGCCTGTAGTCCCAGCATTTGGGAGACTGAAAAACAGGAAGGATCACTACAGTCAGATCCATGTAGTGAGATCCTATAGACCTTGTACCAAATACATTAAAAATAAATAAATAGGAAAAAATAACCCTGCAACCTTCACTTCTCTTAATGGTTTAATCTTAACCTTGAAGCTTATTTTTTTTTCTACAATCATTCCTACCAAGAAAGGTTAAGCCAAGTCATAATTCATAAGGATAGTGCACTTCAATTTTTAAAGATTGGGGTAAAACAGATACAAAATTTACCATTTTAACCATCTTTATAGACCAAGCAGATATCTTGGGGTGGTCTAAGCACCTGCCTGACAGGCACAAGGACTGGGTTCAATCCTTGGTACCCTACTGAAACTGGGCATGGTAGCACACCCCTACAATATCAGTGCTGAGGAGGCTGAGACAGGAGGATCACTATGAGTCTGAGCTGCAAAGACCCTGTACCAAATAAATAAATAAAAACTAAAAAGTTAAAAAAACTGAAAAAACCCCACCCATCTTTATAGGTATGTCTAAGTGTCATTATATACATTTCCAAGATTAAGCAGCCATCACTATTCTCTACTTCCAAAATTTTTCATCATCCTAAACATGATTCAATCTATTTATTTATTTATTTATTTTTATATCCAAAATGTGTTTATTGGGATGGCTTCCCACTCATCTTGACTGAGGGTACTGTTAGTGCTGCTTCCTCCTGAAAGAACATCCTTCTGTGAGCCTTGCTTTCCCTCCTGTAGGCTGGCACAGGACAGTGGAGCAGCCAACACACAGAACTACCGTCTGTGCATGGCTAAAGACCGTGGTGATTTTATAGCATCCTGGGCACTCCACGTCCATGAAGTAGGAATTGGGGCTGTGCACCAGGCGCTTCTTCTTGTGCTTCCTCTTCTCCTCCTCCGGAGAGGGATGAAGGAGATCTTTTGCGAGAGGCATGTTCTCGTGGGGAGGTCGTCACCGCTGGAAAAGGGATTCAATCTTTTTTTAAAACAATCTTTTTGAAACAGGGTTTTGCTATGCAGCTCAAGCTGACCTTGAACTGACTTTGTAGCCCAGACCAGTCTTGAACTTGCAATAATCCTCATGCCTCAGATTCCTGAGTGATGGAATCATAGGCATGTGCCATCATGCCTGGCTTCAATCTTCAATATTCTACTGTTTTATTTATTTATTATTTTTATTTTTGGCGGTATCAGGGATCAAACTCAAGACCTTGCACTTGCCAAGCAGGCACTTACACCACTGAGCTATATCCCCAGCCTCCATTTACAGTTTTAAAGTTTAAGGGCTGTCCAGATAGCTCAGTGGACTAAAGCACCTGCTTCGGTAGAGTGCAGCGGCTGGGGTTCGATCCTGGCTGTGCCATGTTGGCCCCGCCCCTGGGGCGCACTGAGACAGTGATTGAGACTGGGCGTGTTGGTGCATGCCTGTAATCCTAGCTCTTGGGAGGCTGAAAACAGGAGACTCACTATGAGTCCGATCTACATTAGTGAGACCCTGTAGTCCCTGCAGACCCTGTGCCAAATACATAAAAATAAATAAATAAATAAATAAATAAATAAATAAATAAAGTTTAGAGCCAAGAACACTGATACTAGGATAAACTGCATATGTCTGAAAAGCTGACTTCCTCTTAAACACTACACTATGAAAATATTCCCTGCAAGTTCCATAGATACACATTTACGAACATAAGGATTTTTAGAGGTTAACGACCTGTAGTAAGCTGTGGAGCTAAAACTCAAATCTATTGTTTCTGATCTCTCATTCTTTTTGATATCTACTGTCTTGTCCAGTGGATTAATACATCAAAATGATATTAAAAGTTCAAAGTGTAATGCACCTATATCAATGCTTCCTATCATAAAATTATTATTTATTTTGTTGGTTTTTTTGTTTGTTTTTTACAGAACCGGGGATTGAACTCAGGCCCTTGCGCTTGCCAGGGAAGTGCTTATTCCACTGAGCCATCTCCCTGGCCAAATTATTGTTTAAAAGTGAATTTGTGTGAAATCACTTGTAATGTATTCGTATCTGTTCTCTGTAGTTACATGTCAAAGAACTGGTCTCCTCCAAATTATCAGTTTTCTCCACTGGTTTATAGATATGAGAAGAATAATAAAGATACCTTGAGTATTTGAGAGCTTGGAAAAAAAAAACATGAATGAAGAGATGTGACATAATAAGGTCGCTTTCCCCATTAAACAGTGCTGCAAAGCCTTTGAAACCACTTCATCTGTGGTTGGTATTGCACAAGGCATGACCTAAAACATCTGTCAGTTCCTGGCATGCCATTTTTCAACAGCGTCCTGTAATTATCATGGGCTTTATTGACATAATAAATATGAGAACCCAGGTGGTTTCCATATCCAGTTGCTTAATTGAAGAACTGAAAGACCTTGTGATATGGAGCTGACAAGGATTGCCTGTCAAGCAGCAATAAATTTTGCGATAGTTGTGACCTTGGGTCATAAAATGACCAATGAAGAGGAAAAAAAATTATGCTATAGAAGTGACTATATTGATTTATTTTATTCTTAGTTCGAAAGCTGACAGAATTAACTATTTCTTCCGTCTGTCTCTTCCAAAGCCAAATGATTCTGTGGACAAATCAATATGAATATTTTCTAAAATCAGGAGCTATGATTAAATCATAAAATATGTCAAACTCTTTCTTGGACTTTCATTTTTAAGGTCCTAAAAAGTGTGAAGGATCATGAAATTCTACACTCTAACCTTTTGATGATAGCGTCAAAATGGATAAATGCTAACATATGAGGAAGAAACATTGTTGATTTTCTTGCAGACATAAATAAGGCCATGTCCCAAAAGATTTTTTTCTGGAATGACCCAAGATGTAAATACAAAAATAACATTTAATCTAGGGGCAAAGCATTAAATAGTAATACAAATTCTACAAATCTTTTGAAAAGTAAACTGATTGTTTTAGAAGGATCAAATGAACACAGATTAAATTATTACATGGTTGCTGTGTGTCTGTAGAGATAATGAATGCTGGAAATTTAAACACAGATAACAAAATGTGTTATATATGGGTACTTTTTTTCTCCCCCACAAACAAGTAATGTAAGTGTAATGTAGAAATTTCTGTCAATTCTCTCTAGAGAACTTAGGTTTTCTGATGCCAGAAGGCTTAGTTATATAGCTCATAAGTTCAACAATATGATGAAGACGTTTGAGGCCCACTTAAAAAATATACAACAGCTTTATTGAGATATAATTCATCCTCTTAAATTATGTACTTTAGTGATTGTTAGTATAGTCACTGTGAATCCATCACCACTATCTAGTTCCAAAGCATTTTCATCACTCCCCAAAGAAATTCCACACCCAAATTAAGTTCAGTCTCTAGTCTCCAGTTTAATTACCAACCCCCTCCAGCCATAGACAACCAATGACCTAGTTTTTGTCTCTGGATTTGCCTATTCTGGACATTTCCTATAAATACAGTCATGTAATATGTGATCTTTGGCTCCTGTTTTCTCTCACTGAGCGTAAAGTTTCCAAGGTTCACTGTGTTCGAGCATCATTCTCTTTTTTTTTTTTTTT